CAGGAGATGGGCTTTGGAATTCACCAATGAGATGCCACCATGCGGACGTGACATGTCCGTGTCCTCCTCTGTTTCATTAGTCAGAGCAAGTTGAAGGCCACTGCCAACTCCAGGGGAGTGCTGCAGAGCGATCCTGCCAGGCACCTGTAGGGAGAATGAGACAGTGTCAACAGCAGGTGGCCCCTTTCCCCTTTTCACAGCCTGCCTTATTTATTTGTTTGTTTATTTATTTTGTATTTTAGGGAAGGGTCTACAGGATGTTCAGGGTCTCACTACTAGATCAGACTCATAATGATCCACCTGTTTATAGCCTCCCAAGAGCTGAGAATGTCACCACGACCAGTCTCAACTGTCATTTCAATGAGCCCCTGGGGGTGGGGCAGGCTGGCAGGCTGGGGGATCAACTCCTGGCCCCTGTGCCTGTTTGCAGGTGCTTTAATCCACTGAGCTATTTAGCCGGCCCAGCCTGCCTTATTTAGGATTTTCCTCTGTGTGTAGCTCTGTCAGCATTAGTGACCCCTTTATCTCAAAACCCACACGTCCTTCTGTAGGTCCATGCTGAATGTCCCCCTTGGTTCCCGATGATGTCACCTGTGACACCTTATGACTTGGCCAGACTATGCTGTGCATCTTAAAACTATGCATGTGGTTTCTTACATTTATACTTTTATTTATATGACTGTGTTTTCAAGTTTTCTTTTTCTTCATGTCATAGTTGTTTTACTCGTCCCTTGACGCAAGGTTTATAAAGCTTTCCTGATCTCTGCTCTGTTCAATCCCTTCTCTGATTCTTACACCATTCTTTACCAGTTTGTCTGAACATTTCCACTCCTACTTGTGCTCTTAAGCTAATACTCCTTTAGTAACGGCTTTGTTTCACTCTTCGTTTCTGTCCACGAGTGGTGCACCCTTTGCTCAGTTAGCAGAAGCTGCTCGTCTGCAGAGAGCATAAAAATGGGCACTTGCGGTGATGGGCTGGCTAGAGAGAAGTCCTTCATCATGCTGTGAGAAAGCCTACAGCTTTCTTCCCCTCCACCCAGCGCCTGCGTGGGAGTGTGGGTGCTCCATTGCATCCCAGACATACCCCATGGGAGCGGCACCAAGCTGGGGCAGCAGGAGAGTTTACAAAAAGGATCTGTTAATCAGTGCTGTGGCATTTACTGTCATTAAAGTTAGCTGAGTCCAGAAATGCCTGAAGGTCTGAAAACTCAAGAGGGAAAAGCAGACGAGGACTAACTAGGTCATGTCTGTGAGGATAATAAGATAGGAGCTGAGATCAAGAGAGATATGCAGTGTCTGTGTCTGTAAAATACACAAGATGAAAACATTTCAAAATCCTCTTGTACAGATTCTCAAACTACATGACAGCAAGTGACACTTATAATTAAATTGTGACTATTCTGAAGATGTTTATTTTTGTGTTTGGTGTATTTTAAAATTCAAAACAGAACAGTGAGTATGTCCAGTTAAGTACAAATAATACGTTGAAAGATAATGAAAAATTTTCAAGTGAGGAGGCACAAAGTGAGCAACTAGAAGCCACTGGTGCTGTGCTGGGAATGGAGAAAGGCAGACTTACGATATAAAAAGTAAAAAATTGGGGGGCCTGCCCCTTAGCTGAGTTCTTTAAGTGGCTGCTTCAACCAAGCAGTCAGGCTCGGGTTGCTGTGGTTCGATCCCCACAACCAAGCCAGCCAAACCTGCCCTGAAGGCATTTGGAGCAAAAAAAAAAAAAAAAGTAAAAAATTAAAAATTTTTCATTAAGATAAGTTTCTTCGAATGCATAGTAGAGGGAGGGTCTGTTACTCAATAATTTGATGAAAAACTTATAGGTTCAAGATATAATAAAGGATTAATATATAAGTAGATTTAAGACCTGTTTTCAAACAGACTTAAGTTTTTTAGGGATGCCTAAAAACTTTTAGGGGTAGAAATCAAACTCAGGACCTCACACTGGCCAGATAGGCGCTGTACCATTGAGCTAATTCCCTGGCCCCAAGAATGTGAAGTTTTGAATATTAAAGAATGTTTCCTAATCCTACATAAATGTAGCTTTCATGAATTTATCACCTTAAGTATGTTATCTATGATCTCTGTAAAATGCTTTTCAGTGTTGTATTTAGAGATAAAATAAGGGACTGGACCCCAGGCCTCTTGGACACCAGCCACTGCAGTCCAGGGCCTCAGAGTCTCAAGAGATCTATAATATATCACCCAAATAGCACTTCAAGAAGAGAAATTCTATAGGACGTGATTTTATTCTCACTCATCCAGGCCTTATCCCCTCTCTGAGTTTGTTTTATAAGATGGTTTGTCAGCCAGACACAGTGGCACACTCTTGTAATCCCAGCACTTGGCGAGGCTGAGGCAAGTGGATTGCAAGTCCAAGTCTTGCCTGGGTAACATAGCAAGACCCTGCCTCAAAACACAAATAAAAATGGTGGCCGCGTGGATGGTAGCTCAGTACAGAGACTTGGTTCAATCCTGTACACACCAAGTTGATTTTATAAATGTTCCTTACCAGCTACACTTATGCCTGCCCTGAGGTATTTGCTGGAGCTGTCTGTACACTTGCAATGCCCTCCACCCACATCACAGGCTGTATCACTAGGAGTCACCAACTGCCCTCTCTTCAGTGACACCTTCTTGGGTCATCCTTGGAAACTGTCTCCCTCAAACCTTCCAGTCCTCTGCTCCATTTCTTATCACTGCATTCTTGTTGCTTATGGTTTCTCACTTAATGGTGGGAATCCAGGCTCCAGAAAGGTGAAATCATTCCCCAGGGTTGCGTGGTCAGTCAGTGAAGTGAGACCACATCCCGACTCCTGCCTCAGTGCCATCTGCTCACTACCGGGTAATGCCCGGTGTGTTGACCCACCTGGACATATTTTTTTTAATGTATTTGCTACAGGGTCCACTACACAGCTCAGACTTACAGTGCTGCTCCTGTTTCCAACTTCCCCAGTGCTAGGCTTACAGGGGGCGCCACCACACTGGGACTCCGTGGCTGGCTCAGTATGCCCTGGGGGCAGGGCCGGCCCAGCATGTGGTGTCAGGGATGGAACCACAGTCCCTGCACCTGGCTGAGCAGGCACTTAGTCCATTGAGCTGCCTTGCTGGCACTCAACCTGGACATTCTAATCTCACAAGTTTTTAAACTTTTTTTTAATGACTATCGTTTTGTCTCAATTGTCGATATACCTTAAGAATTGTTATAATTTCCACTTACTGACTTTTTACTTTAGACACATTTTCAATGAGAAAAGAAATATTATTTTAAAATTTAAGAACCTTTCTTAAAGGTTCAGAGTAGAACAAAGAGCTTCTGTAGAAAGTAGCAAGCATGTATTGCGTTTGCCTCCAAAATTCTATTTACTCTGCTGCATTGTTGAGGAAAGAAGAGCAACATTAAACAAGCTTAGAAATTATTAATGCTCGGCATTGGAGAAGCACAAGTTCTCTCTCTCGTGTAGCCTCATTTCTTCATGAAGCTGATGTGGAAGATAAACGAGGACACTTCACTGTGTTTTTAAAATCTTCACTTTAGGAGCCAGGCATGGTGGGCATGCCTCTCGTCCTGGCACTGTGGGAGGCTGAGGCAGGCTGATCTCAGGTTTGAGCCCAGCTTGGGCACTTTAGCAACACAGCACGACCCCATCCCACAGTAAAAAGGGCTGGGGTTTAGCCTCTGGGAAGGCTATACTGATGCTCTGTGAGTCGGCCCTTGCCTGCCCTTGTTGCGTCCAATCGAGTACTGAAAAAAAAAAAAAACCTCACCGAGGCTGTCCCCTGCCAGAGATCTGCGGACTAAGCACATAGATTGAGCCCCAGAGTCCCAGCCTTGGAAGTGCTTTTCTGGAAGACTGAGCTAGTGAATTAGAAGTGAGAGCTCACCTTAATCCGTCAGCTCTAATTCTCCTATTTTAAGTAGTATCCATGTAGTTCTGTTGACTTGGCCTTATGTCTTTTATTTATTTATTTTTTTTTGGCGGAACCGGGGATTGAACTCAGACCCTTGCGCTTGCCAGGGAAGCACTTATTCCACTGAGCCCTCTCTCCGGCCCCGCGTTATGTCTTTTGACACTCGTGATCAGAACCAAGTAATAATTGAGCCAAGAACTGATGCTCTGTGAGTCTGCCCACGCCTGCCCAGAGCCTGCTTCCTGCATGGCTCGCTGCAGGCCCAGCTGGACAGCTGGCCTCCGCTTCCAGGTTCTTTGGGGCACCTTAACCTCCTGCAGCGCCCCCCTTCCATCTCTGCCCTTGGCAGCATGGGTCCTGCAGCCAGTCACTGACCAGCTCAGACGCTGAGGGAGTCATTCATTGCCTTCCGACTACAGTCTTGAGAAGTGATAACGTTTTTGTTTTTCAAATGAACACCAGTGCAAGAGGGAAATCATTGTTTTTATTTTTTCTGGAATACAGATTTGAATCAGAAACTTAATTTAAACTTGAACCTCAATTGATAAATATCAGAAATTAAGTAAAATGGAATAAATTATTTTAATTCAAAGCTAATGAAAATACTAGGGCCTAGGCCTATGGACAGGCAAAGTTAACCAGTGTTAGGTGAACTATATTAGGTTTCTCATCCAATGAGAAAACTCCTTTTACAGGGCCCTAGTAGAGGAATGCCTTGACCTCTGATGACTGTTGGCAAACTTCCCGCGTGTCTCCTTTTTCTCCAAGGCCACAGCCACACCGTGACCGCTATGGAGGAGAGCTCTGAAGGCCTTTCTCCCAGTGGCTGGCGGGCCCTGGCTGGGGCGCCGGGCGTGCGCCAGAGCCTTCTTTGGCAGCTGTCTGGCCCCCAGTTCTGCGTCAAGACGGCCCTACAGTAGGAGAGCAGGCCCGCGCCCGCGCTCCGGGAGAGTTGCGCTTAAGGCCGCGTTGTGTAGGTGATAGCCTTCGTCGTGCTCAGGACGTGTCATCTAAAACGGCTTTTCTGTCTTTCCCTTTTCCACTCTTGGCCTCGCTTTTAACGCTGCATCGCCTGACAGTGTCTTTACGTCCAAAATGCAAAGCAGACAAATGGGCGAGCCAGGGAAGAGCGGCACCACCCGGAGCTCCAGCATCAGCGGCGACCTGTGCTCGCTGGATAGGACCGACGGCAGCCAGTCGGACACGGCGGCGGGCGCCCCGGGCGCGGGCGGCAGGAAGCGGCGCTCCAGCCTCGGCGCCAAGGTGGTGGCGATCGTGGGCCTCTCACGGAGGAGTCGCAGCGCCTCGCAGCTCGGCCGGACGGGTAGGAGCTCTTCCTTGCGTTGCTCTGACCGCGCGTCGGCTCGGGCGCGGCGCGCTGCCTTCCTCCCGGCCTTTCCTTTCAGCGGTGCTGACGTGCAGCGTGCCAGGCGCCGAGCCCTGCGAGCGTAACCGAGACCTCTTTTGCAGTGACTGGGAGCCTGCTGCAGAGCGGACCTCCCCTGGACCCCGGGTGCCATCCTTGCTGCCCGGGGGTCACTGCGGCGCCCCTCGGGTCCTGGTCGCGGTCTCAGCACACGCGCTTTGCTTTAGCTCCCGCGATGAGTCGCCGAGTCCGGAGAAAGTGGCCCGGGCTGGGCCCTGGCGGGAGGAGCGCACTGCCCACCCGACACCCCTGGAGGGGATGTAGAGGCTTGTGCTGATGCGAGGCGTGCAGGGCTTTGCTGCTTTAAAATGTAACTTCTCAATCACATCTGCAGAACAAATTATACACAGCACTCAGAAAAGCCACTGTTAGCAATTATGAAATTTGTGAGTCAAAGCCATGTTTTCAAATGGGTGCTGATAATTAAACATTGAGTCCCTGTTATGTCGCAAATAATAGCATATCTAACAGTTAACAAAAGTGTGTAATATGGTGTTTTACAGCAAAATAAATGACAGACAACTGGATTAAATATAATTTGTGTTTGACTACTAGGGTTCTTGAACAAAGAAGTCACGATATAGAGCCAAGCAAGCAGCACTTCACAGTCGTTTTCTTCTGGGGCGCGACTAATCTTGGTTTTCCCATTAGCAGTGATTCTGGACAGTAGGCCGTATATAACGATATCATATAGAAACAGTCATTGGATGGTACTCTCTTTTATCCAGGTTATAACTTACCATATTATGATTTTTGTTATGCTCATTTTCCATTTGGTATTTCAAAATGTTATTCTCTTTGTAATGTAGAAATAAAATTTTAATTAATGGACAGTAGAGATATCGATCATATTAAATGATTTTAAACTGCTAATACTTATGCATAATTAGCTATGTCATACTAATCTGTCAGAAATTAGATTTACTTGTTCAATAGGTAAAACTTTATTGCTTTTTCTTCTTTAAAATTTAAAAATATCTCTATAATTAAAGTACTCTAAAATGATCTCTGAATTTTTAAAAGCTCAGAACCTAAAATGGACATTAGGCTGTGAGTCAGAAGGGAAGTGGGAATGGCGAGCTGACAGGGCTGCTGGCGACAGCTGGAAGAGGCGAGGTCCTGTGTGGGCGGTGGCAGGTGGGGTGGTAGGGCTCCAGTGGCCCTTGCTGTGTCCTACCGTGGCTGCACAGCACTGCAAGAAAGTTTTGAGAAGTTTCCACCACAAAGAAATACTAAATGTGGGGTGGAGATAGCGCCGTGGTCCAAGCACCTGCCTGGCAAGCACAAGAACCTGGGTTTGATCCCTGGTACCACATGCGTGCCACCCCGGAGTCTGCCTGCTACTGAAACCGGGCGTGGTGCCACATGCCTGTAAGCCCAGTGCTGGTGAGGCTGAGACGGAGGATCACTACGAGTCTGAGCTGCATAGTGAGATCCTGTACCAAATAAATAAATAAATAAGAAGTTTGTGAAACTTTAAAAAGAAAAAAATAATATTTAAAGAGGTGGATAGTCTGACCTGACTCAAACATTATACAATGTGTACCTGTAATGAAATATCGCAAGTTCCCCATTAATATTTCTGATTTCATGTTTGTATGTGTAAATTAAAATTATTTTAAAGTTAGAAAATTAAAAAGATCACAAGTTAGAGAATATATGGTGTTAAACTATGTCATTAATTCTGTGTATTAAGGTTTTTGGTAAATATCGAAAGCTTACCGTGTGCCAGACTCACTGGACACAAAAAGGCATAAGAGATTATAATCTAGTAGGAAACAGATTGTACTATATCGGTGGTGAAGCTAGAATTAGGAGGTTGAGAGGACACTTACACCTGCCAGTGCTGCTGAAAGCGGCCCAGAAGAGCAGAGTAGGTAGCCAGCAGGAGGCCAAGACAGGACGCTGCTTAGGCTGGACATTCGAGTTGGGTGGACAGAGTGGTGCCCAGAAGCAGAGCGAAATCTGAAGGCAGGATGAGTGCTGTCTATGAGAGCACAGTCAGAGATGGGTGTGCGATTTCTCCATGTCTACCTCGCTGTCTCTACAGTTTGGACCTAAATGCCTGTTAGATCCTCTGTCGACAGTATTTTTATGCTGAAGTTGGCTGTGCCCTGAGCTCTGTAGCAACGCTGCTTCACTTGTCTGTGAGCAGGTGCAGGTTTTCATCTTAAAGACGCTGTGATAGAAGATTTAAGAAATGTGGTCTGGGGCTGGCCAGGTAGCTCAGTGGACTCGAGTGCCTGCTTAGGCAGGGTGCAGTGGCTGGGATTCGATCCCGGGCATGCCCTGCCCGCCCTGTCTCCATTGAGCCTGGGTGTGGCGGCACGCGCCTGTAATCCAGCACTTAGGAGGCTGAAAACAGGAGAATCACTAGGCATCTTATCTGTGTGGTGAGACCCTATAGACCCTGTACGAAATGCATAAAAAAAAGAAAAGAAAAAGAAATATAGTCTTATTCCTTGTTATATGGCCTCTTCCTATAGATTGCAAAGCAAAAATCAGGCTTCTTGGCCATGGTCTTCATTACTACTCAGTGGCATTGTGATTAAATCTTAATCTTTTAAAATGTGTGTTTAGTGCTACCTTCTCACCGAGTAGCTTTGACCAAGTGACAACAGAATTGAGATTGTGTTTTATTCCAAGGCTTTTGACTATAGCAGCCAATGAAGAATTTGTATCATTGTGGACTCCAATCCTTCAGAGAATTTCTTAATTCTGTATTGATGTATATGTGTTTCAAGTGAGGCTTTTATGTTTTGTTTGCTTATAAAAATGTAATCACAAGCACCAACAATATCTAAAACTGAAATCTTTGAATTTAAACTATTTGATAATCTGCTCAAAGAGATTAGATCATGCTTTCTATTTAGATATTAAATGATCTAGGGTCGATGAGATAGCTCAGCAGACTAAGCCTCTGCTTAGGCAAGCACAGGGACCTGGGTTTGATCCCCGGCACCACATGCCAGGCTGGCCCTGCTCTAGGCATGCTGAGCCACCCCCCAAGACCGGGCATGGTGGCACATACCTGTAATCCCAATGCTGGGAAGGCTGAACCAAGAGGATCACTGCCAGTCAGGACTACATAGCAAGACCCTGTATATAATACATTAAAAATAAATAAATAGGATATATTGAGTAATTTACCTAGAACCAAGAATACCTTGTATGTTTTCAGCTAGTATGTTTGTATTTTCAAAGATTCACTTAGTAGTCTCTTGTTTGTTTTTTTTTTCTTCTCTATGTTGATCTGCATCCTGTTAGGTTAAAGAGTAATGATGAATTAAGTAAATGGTAATTTTTGAATATAATATTTATAACTTTTAAAAGATGATTATCATTATACTACTACAGATTTCAAGATTGTATGTCTACCTACCTGCCTTCTGAAGAATAGGAAATTATCAAAATGGACTCTTCTTAAAGAGTAGTATAGAGAATGAGAGGACAGAGAGAGACAGAGACAGAGACAGACAGCGACAGAGAGAGGTCTCATATGAGGGAAACCATGTGACATTTAAGCTTGTGTGTCAGACTTATTTCACTCAGCATTGTGGTCTCGAGGCTCATGCATTTACCTGTGAATGCCTATGCCTCAAGTTTATCTTCCTTTTGGCAGGGCAGCACTCTGTTGTGTGTAAATGTCACAGTTTCTTTATCTACTCATCTCTTGATGGGCCTGTAGGCCAGTTCCAAGATTTAGCTATGATAAGCTGTGCTGCTACGGGTGTGCTGGATTGCTGGAATATATCTAGAGGTGGAATCTCTGGGTCCGCATGATCCACTGTGTCAAGGGCTTCTGGCAGGTCAAGTAGGATGAAAACTGTAAGCCTACAAGCGGACTCAGCAAGATGCAGGATTTGCTGACTACCCTGAAATGGTGCGCAATACTTTTATGGGAGAAACTGGAGCCATCAGTAGAGTCCAAGATGCCCACATGCGAGTGCGGAGAGTATGTAGAGGTTGTAGGTTCTGTTCGTGCATTGACGAGTCAGTGCAGTGAGTGACCTGCAAGCCTCTCAACAATGCCAGGAAGCAGGAATTAGTTATACAGCGCCCATTTTGCAGATGAGGAGACCAAAGCAGGGAGAGGGGAAGAACTGCAGGTTCATCTAGCATTGTCAAGGGTGAGTGCTGGGTTCAGACCCTACAGCACCAACTTCCCTCAGCCTCCATGGGAGCACTGCCTACTGGCACTGCCCGCTGGCACTGCTGGCAGCACTGTGGCTGCTCTACCCACAAGAACATGGCACCTCCACCCATAGGGTGCTCAAACGTGGCCAGTGCCGCTAAGGACCTGGGTTTTCATGGTTTGAACATTTTTTATTAAATTCATTCATATTTAAACAGGGGCAAGGGGCTAATGACTATTTTATTGATGGCATGGGTGAAGAAAAGTCTGGGATTTTTGTTTTTAATTTAAAAATAGGACTGTAACCTCAAGTAGCTGGAGTGGAATAAAGGTTTTGTTTAGGAGACAGAGCTCTTGGGGCCAGTTTCATTGATGGAGGGCATTACAGCCAGCACTGAAGTGGAGGTCATCCACCACGAGCCATACCCATTTTCTGGTCTGTGCTTTTCATCTGTGATCACTTATACACCAGCATAGTGCTTTACATGCATGGTTTTAACATCTAGACTGTGATGGCATGTAATACAAAATAAATGTATTGATTTATCTATTTACTGAATGTTTGCATCATCAAGAAATTGTTTCAAGGGCTGGGGAGATGGCTCAGTAGAATAAGCACTTGCCTAGCAAGCTCAAGGGCCTGAGTTCAAACCCCAGTTCTGAAAAAAAAAAAATTTTTGTTTCGAGAAAATTAATGAAATATATGTGTTTTTAAACTAACAGGGAACTTACCCCAAGCTTATGCCTCATATGGCCCATGATG